CAAGTTTCTTAACTCACTGCCACCAAGCCATAACTCACTGCCACCAAGTCCTAACTTACTGCCACCAAGTGCTAACTCACTGCCGCCAAACCCTCAGTCACTGCCACCAAGTCCTAAGTGAATTCGCTAAATCCTGACTTACTGCCACTAAGTTTAAAGTCAAGTCACCAAGCCCAAACTCACTGCCACCAAGTCCTAACTCACTGCCACCGAGTCCTAACTCACTGCCACCAAGTCCTAACTCACTGCCACCAGATCCTAACTCACTGCCACCAAGTCCTGACTCACTGCCACCAAGTCCTAACTCACTGCCACCAGATCCTAACTCACTGCCACCAAGCCCTAACTCACTGCCACCAAGTCCTAACTCACTCCCACCAAGTTCTAACTCACTGCCACCAAGCCCTAACTCACTGCCACCAAGTCCTAACTCACTGCCACCAAGTCCTAACTTACGCTCACCAAGCCCTAACTCACTCCCACCAAGTTCTAACTCACTGCCACCAAGCCCTAACTCACTGCCACCAAGTCGTAACTCACTGCCACCAAGTTTCCTAACTCACTGCCACCAAGCCCTAACTCACTGCCGCCAAGCCCTAACTCACTGCCACCAAGCCATAACTCACTGCCACCAAGTCCTAACTCACTGCCACCAAGTCCTAACTCACTGCCACCAAGTCCCAACACTGCCGCCAAACCCTAAGTCACTGCCATTAAGTCCTAAGTGAATTCGCTAAATCCTGACTCACTGCTACCAAGTCCTAAGACTGCCACCAAGTCCTAAGACACTGCCACTAAGGCCTAAGACACTGCCACCAAGGCCTAACTCATTGCCACCAAGTCCTCGGTCACTGCCACCAAATCCTAAGACACTGTCACCAAGGCCTAACTCATTGCCACCAAGTCCTCGGTCACTGCCACCAAATCCTAAGACACTGCCACCAAATCCTAAGTCACTGACACCAAGTCCTAAGTCGCAGCTCTATACCATTGTCAGATTAGCACAGAGCGGTCTGCTGCTAAATTGCCTCCAATTTAACCAAATTGGGTGTTTCTGAACTCTAAAACTATGTCCAAACCTTCCTAGCCACCGATGCCTTTGTTCACTAAAACTCTATATTATGGGATGCAATGTGTCAATATAGATGTAAGTAAACTGATAAAGAAATATTGCAGGAGCTACTGTGCTTGATATCTTCTTCGTTGGCCAACAAAGATAGAGAATTAGCAAACATGGGCAGGGGGTGGGGGAAAAAAGAAGAGGAAAAGGAGGGCAGGTGTCAGAAAAGATTAGGTTGTTGTGTACCCTTTACAGGACGTTGCAGAACCAACCCCAACAGCCCCTGGATGTTGTGTGGTTTTTCTAAGCAAAATGTACGTCCAGTAGTTTGGCATTGCTTTTTTTTTTGGACGGTCGGCTTTCTTGATACCACTGTCGAAACCAACGCAAGGCGCATGGCCCGGCGCTGGGATCGATCCCGGCATTACGAAGCGTTCGCATCGACTTAGTCACAGAGCCGACAGGTGTCAGAAAAACAAGATCAAAAACAGACAAACTTGGCTTGACATTTTTTAGAGTAGGCTACTCGAACTGCCACCGTGCAACGCAGAGAGGGCCTAGTTTAGAGAAATAAGTTTATGATTGTGACATCCTAATGCTGCCAGTAGTTATGACGACTACATTAAATTATCCGGGATAAAGCAGATACATCAATCCACCGGGGCCGGTGAAATGGGGCAAGAAATATTAGTAAGGGAGTCGCCGTGGCAGAGCGGCTAGACGCGCGCCGCGGATCGGAAGGTCGTGGGTTCGCTCCCTGGCGGAGACGGACTTTTCTTCAAAAATGACCTTGGCTCCCAGGTCGACCCAGCCTTGAGTGGGTACCGGGTGCAATCCCGGGAAGTAGAGGCGGCCGGCGTGATGCTGACCACATCGCCCATCTTGTGCCGTTGGTCTATAAAAATATAGGTCTAGCCCTATATACCCTATACGCTCAAAGGCGTGGAAAGGGTCCTTTACTCTTTTTTTTTTTATTAGTAATTTAAAAAAAAGGGGGGTTATACAATATTCAGCATTTTATATGAATCGGTGAAACCAGGGCAATGAAGAGCGTCAAGGTGCAGTATACAGATTGAGATAGAGGGCTTTAAGTGGAATATTGTAAATGTATATGCACATAAAGAGTCCTTTGTTTAAAAAATAAGCAGTGGTGTTGGCTGAAAGATATTGAACAACTGCCAGACTGACTGACTGACTTTCTAACCCACCAGGACATCACACAAGCGATAAACACCCGATGACACAAAGTTCCACCTTGTAGATGAGGATCGCCGTGGAGAGGTCCCAGAAACCACGTTCAGACAATTGGTCATATTTATGGCCTGCCTATATTGCGGCCCCTGGCAAAAGCCAGGGAGGGGCTTCAAATAACAAAAAATGTCGAAAGTAGGTATTTTTTTTTTTAAACTGCCAGGTGATCGAGTCCTTATATGTGGGGACTTTAACGCATGCGCCTATGAATAAGGTCAGTCAGAGAAAAAATGGAACACGCTCTGCCGCAATCAAAGTTCGTCTGTATGACTGATGCAGCCATGGCAAACTCACAAAAATGGCAATGAGACCAAGAGATGACAGTGTTGCCACTGATGTCTAGCGGGGGACTGCAGGACCAGATATTGTATGGAATGTACTTGGTGATCATGGAAGTGACCACTTGCCATGTACTGTCTTGCTGTCAACATTTGGAAAGACCGTTGTACGGTAGGTGTGTTTCTTCAGATATGAGAACACAAGAGTCGCTTATTGGGCATATTAGGAGAGGATCAACCAGGGGTAGATTCATTCAGCCACCATGGTGGACTTCAGAGATAGAGTAGCCTGAAAATAAAATAAAAGAGTGCGGGGTGAAAGAATGGCAACATGTACGAATGTTGTCTCTTTTCATTCCGCAAGAGACGATTGGAGCAGCAGAAGATTAAAAGAGAACAATACTGCCAAGTTGAAGTTGTGGCCGCAGATGCTTAAAGAAAAGTAAAATAGGGGCAGCTTGTGAACGAGGTTGAGGAAGACAGAATAATGGGTAAGTTCAGGAACGGCATATGCACTTGTGTCTAAGCCCGGAGTATTCGTGGGAATGTCCGACTGCTGTGATGCCCATTCTTGATTCATTTATTCAGATAGTAAGCGGGAAAACAGGAGGGAGATGGCATGGTACAGCAATGATGAATTGGACAAGGAATTTCAATGCTGATCAAATATAGGGCAAGCCAATAGTCGCGCTTGTGTGTGTGTTCGCACGTGTGCGTGTGTGTCCACAGACAGGCCGGATTTATACTTGATTAAGCCCTTAGATGTTTAAAGCCGTGAAGTCCCTGCCGTTTTAAATTACCCCAGCTAATCTTACAAAAACTTTCAACAATATAGACGTTGCAGAACCAACCCCAACAGCCTCTTGCTGCTGTGTGGTTTCTCTAGGAAAATTTACGTCCAGTAGTTTGCCATTGCTCCCTGGACGGTCGGCCCCCTGATACAACTATCGAAACCAACTCAAGGCGCATGGCCCGCAGCTGGAATCGAACCCGGCATTCGCATCGACTTAGCCACAGAGCCGACTTTAGCAATATACGTCTTTCTTTTAAATTTGTGGATAATAGAAACACATTGCAGGGAAATTTATAGTAAAATAAATAATAACAAAAGTGTTATGAAAAGCACAGAAATTGTATTATACAATCTTCTGAAAGACTCTATTTAAAGAAAATTGTAATTTAAAAATAAAAAGACAAATGCATTTATGGAAAAAAAAAAATGTTGAGTTCGGAATCGATATCACGGCACACGTAATATTCACATTCTGCACAGTGGATGCCTGTCTTCGCCTTTCTCAAAATGCCCTGTGAGTCAGTTACAATGACGATCTGTGTGTACAGCTGGTTTTTGAACCATCGGAAGACAGCAGTGACTGTTTCCTCCTCCAATTTCAAACTAGACCTTGGGGTATCATATGCCAGGCTTTTTCGGAAAAACAAAACAAGTAGGACTTTGCTGAAGCCCTTGCAGATTGTGAGGCCCCAAGCTGTGGCTCATACTTATGCCTAAATCTAGCGCAGTGTATGGTAGGTAGGTAGCTAATTGTACCCCCCCCCCCCCCTAGGACACCACACAAGCGATAAACACCCGGTAAGACAAAGTGCCACTATGCGGATGAGGATCACCAGTGGAAAGGTCCCTGAAACCGCGTTCAGCCTTTAGGCCATATCACCGCCTTCTCCAGATAGAGCCGGCCGTGACCATATCTATCGTCATCATCAGTTCTCGTTATGCCTAGTGGCACATGAGGCTTCAGAGAGGACTTTCCATGCTTTCCTGCCCTGTGCAATCTTCAGTGCAGTTTTCCATGTCAAAGATGCCGCACTCAGGTCACTTTCCATCATTCGTCTCCGTGTTGTTTTTGGGCGCCCCTGTTTTCTCTTTCTCTCTGGTGTCCATGTGAGAGCTGTTTAGCCATATCTATGGCTAGGCCATATTTACGACCCGACTATATTTAGGGCCCCCGGCAGAAGCCAGGATGGGGCTTCAAATAACAAATAATTGCATCCCACATGGGGACGACTTGATGAAAATGAGATAATGGTCATTAATCAGTGTATGGAATTCACCCACCTCTGTTTATCTCTCTAATTGGCTATTTGTGTGCGCATGTTTAAGGACGCTTAATCAGTTTTTCAAATTAAAAACTGTGTACCTTTTGAAAAACAACCCCCCCCCCCCCCCCCCTTTTTCCCTTTAAAAAAAAAAGCCGTGAAGTAGCAGGCAAACTGTTCTTCGCCTCGCCGCTCGAAAGTTGACAATGGTGAAAATGAAAGTTGACTTGATGAAAAAGGAAGCGGAAATAGGTGTTTGTTTTCATAGCAACCATTCATCTTGTGAGAAAGATTGTCATATTTTCCCGACTTGACTTAAAAAGTTGTTTGAAATTAAGTCACAAAGAATATAATAAATGAAACCTAAAACTGCACCAGCTGGACATAAGGACAACAGTGAACACGAACTAAAGGAAGTTATTCTACTAGACACAACAGTCATTAATCGGTGTATCTATGGAAATGATACTGACCGACTGCGACGGTACGGATGAATTGAATCAATGTTGTCTAGTCACTAGTCACACTAGTGTGTCCTTCTATCATTCTGCTTCTTTCTATGAGAGCCGATCAGTTCGTCGTGTTTTTGTTATGTGTAATGTGACTGTAAAAAGACTAATAAAACACACACAAAACAAGAGATGGTCAATGATCAGTCAGCAGGTACTTACATTCTCATCATTCTGAGAAGAAACCAGCTGAGGATCACCACCGGGAACTGAAATGGGAAATAGATGGACTGAGACAACGAGGACTTCCAAGAGAAACCCTAAAGCAAATGACGATGAGAGAAGCCAAAGGTGCTTTGCTGGATTCCATCCATGATACTGAAGTGCTTGTACATGATAGAACAGAATCAAGAGATAGACTGTGAACTCTATTTAGGACTGTAAATAAATGTCCTTGTTGCCTCTAACACTCACTGTCCATTCTTTGTTGTCTCATCTTTATTGGGCCCATTAGTTTGATTTAAACCCACAACTCAGGTATGGGAGCCCAGCATCAGTTACTTCTTACTCCCTTACCAAAATAGGCAGTACAAACAATAAAACTGAAACTGCAAATATTATTTAGTGTGGCCTTAGTTTTTAATCTAGAGCCACCATGCTGTAGTGGCTAAATGCTCACTTGCAGATCCAAAGGTCATGGATTAAAATCCAGATAGAGCCAGACTTTCTAAAATGACCTTGGCTCCCAGTTCGACTTCACTTTAAATGTGTACAGATAAAGTACTAGGAAGTAAATGTGGCCACTTTGATGTTGATCACATTACCCATCGAGTATCGATTGGTCTATAACAAAAATAGATCTAGCCCTATATGCCCAATGTGTCTGAAGGTGTGGTAAAGGGTCCTTTAGTTTACTGCTTGGTAATCTTCTGGATATTTTGTTTCTTTCAGTACAGATGCTTTCAGGACATCGCAGATCCACAGAAAGAGGAAATACATGAACTACTGAATCAGAGAGATTCTACCGGAAAGTCTCCATTAGATCTGATTGCAAGTTTAGGCAGAACAGAGCTGGCAAGTTTGATCATACAAAATGGTGCAGATGTCAACAGTTGCACATCAAAAGGTTAGCCACATATTTGTACAATTTCATTTCTAGTATGAAAGCAAGACATTGATCTATTTCCCCACCCTCAAAGGACAGCATACAATTTTGTGTAACTATAGAATGTCACTATGGACAGTTAAGTTATAGCAGCCACAATAAGCTCAAGGGGAACAACCATAAAGAAGATGAATGGCACCTTTCCTGTTACAACTAGCAGCCTCATGATGGAAACTGTGGCTGTAACAAACACAAAAACATGACTGGGTACTCAAGAGTTCACACACACACTTGTGTACTTAAGGATTCAATGAATGTACTTAAGAAAATCTGGACTGGGTTTATCAGACAAGAATGAATTGTATCACTAAGCAATTTGCGATGGGTAGCTTAGCCTTCATCTATGTGCCAGGTTATGTGGGTATACAAGTTGTCCACATATGGGACACAATTTTTCATTATTTTGAAGCTCCACTCTGGCCTTTGAGTGTTCAAGGCAGCTAGTGTGCAAATTATCTTGGAGACACCAGGATTGCTATGGCTAGTCCAGGACTAGATAGAAATGCTGTCATCAATGCCAAGTGCGGCACTTACCGCGAAGATAAATACGACAAATTTAATGAGTCCTTACTCCTGTCCAGGCTGATGGACATGGGGGAGGGTGGCTGAGTTTTGTGTTCAAATCTGTTTTACTGGCTTATTTGTTTGCCGTTCCCTGCCTCACCGGCAGATGTACTCCGACTTAAGGGATAAATCATCTAGTGAAAATGAAGCCGGTTACCACATTCACCCTTTATGTGCACCTATCGATGACAACTATTACTCTGGCCTAATCCTTCTCTTCGTGGTAAGTGGATTGTAAATGATAATTTTCTGCTGTTATCATTTAGTTTTATTTCAGCATATTGATGACCATTGTTCCAGAGACTGCCAGTTTATTAAGCTTAACATTTTAAATATTCATCACTCTTTCATGAAGCCTTGTTAAAATGTAAATTTGCTAAAATTTGACAACTAAAATGTTAATTCTGCAAAAGTATGTAGACAGTTGATGTTTTATTGGACAAGTTTTGGAAAAGAATGGATTTAAGAATTTGGTGACAGTTGGCAAGTGTGGTGAAAAAAGAGCAAGGGAAAGGCAAAGAGATAAATACCTGGATGGTTTAGCCTAATGGGCAATGCAAGAACAGTGACATGATCGGTGATTCTTGTTATCATGTAGTATGTGTGACACATGACAGCATATACTAATCATCATGTCACATGATGATGACGACTGAGAAAGTACATCACAACTTTTCTTTTTGTGTGGAATCATAGAGCAGCCATTTTTTAAAAGTATTAGGAGTGGAAAATATATCTTTCATATTACATGACGGAAAAGGTACAAATGTTTCTTTTTAAAATATTATATGTGAACTTGAAATATTTTTTTGTTTATTTTTTCTATCATTTGATGTTGAAATATCTCTTAACTGAGTAGGCAACAACAATTTTTATAAAGCTAAAATATAAATACTAACTGTTCACTCCAGGGATTTAAAAAAGTATACATAATTTGTATTATTGCAATGTAAACTCGTCATTTAAAAAAAAAAACTTATGTAAAACTGGTAAATTTCATTATGATATTTAAAACCACCATGTCAAAGTCAGTCAGAAATGATGTGTGTAAATTCTGGTACAAAATTTTTTTGACAATTTGTTGACCATTGTTATAGTAACAGGATAAAGTGGGTTAACTCAACAAACAACAACAATACATCAAAATGCACTACATAAAGAATAACTACTGAATGTACTATGAGTTACTTGGGTTTGAAAGAGTTATTTATACACATTTATGTACATTTTGGCAACACAGGGTACAGCTGCTTGCATCATGCAGCTGCCTGGGGGCATCTTCCAGTATTGAAGATCCTTGTGGACAATGGTATCAATCTCCATCGGCAGAACATCCATAGTGAAACTGCCAGAGATGTAGCTCACAGGTACCTTCATCAAGAGTGTGCAGATTTTTTAGAAATCTCTGGTAAGAGTTCTTCCTTCTGATATATTTTTGGTTGTTACTTTTCATGCTTCTACTTCTGTGTTTGTCAGATATTTTTGTTAGCTCATTTTGGACATTCACTTTGTGCCTGTTTAAAGAAAGAATTGCAGTAATTGCGTCTTATGGCAAACATGTCAAACTTATTTTCATCTGGTGTTTGTTAACTGTTTTAGCCATTCCAGCCTTTTTAAAGCTTCTGATGCTAAAATCACACTTCTTCAAGTTTATTTGTCAATAGGGTGTCCCCACAACTGTGTTGTTTGATACACAAGAGAAATTTTGTTTTTGAATCCCTGGAAAACAGTTCAGGCTCAGTGTAACACTGTCAGCACTAAGCCAGCTTCTCTGCAGGGAAAGACCAAACTAGATGGATTAAAAACCAAATCCGTCATGTCATCTTCAGTCCACTTAAATGTTTGTAAACATAAATTTCATCAATCCCACAAAATTTCACAGCAAACAACCAGCAAAGAAAATGACGGCAGCAAAAAATCAGTTGATTACTTTCAGATAGCTCTAAAACAACCGGAAAGGCTAACCCGGTCAACAAATGCCTGCAGAAGTCTGATGTGTTGGCCGAAAGGTTCAAATATCGCAGCCATGCTGTAAACGGACACAATGCAATTACATCTTCAGATGAACGCAGAAGAAGAAGAAGAAATAGCTCTAAATGTATACTACACACCTTGGATAAAACATACAGAGAAGGGATCACAATATTAAAACATTTTGTTGTTGTTGCAAATATGTGTTTGTAATTATTGATTTGATTTGTAAAGGATAACTTTAATTGAACATTGATATCTTCATAAGTATGACAGTCTCCTTTTATAGATCATATTAGGAAGACTTCGCACAGTGGGTGGGTGGGTAGGTGGTTGGTTGGGTGATTTAGGCTTGATTCCTTTATCCCAGGACATTTCAGCTAAGTTTACTCAGAGGCCAAAATTGTGAAAATTTTGATCGTCAAGGGTCAGAAGTCTGAGCCCCAGCATAGACAGATCCTTAATACAGTACAACTGGCAATAATCCACAGGCCACTTGCAAGGCCTCAGTGGGCCAAATTTGACCTGTGGGCCACCAGTTAAATAGCTGTCATTACTGTCTGTTTGACCTTTTTTTAGGGTGGGGTAGACAGGGGAGTTTTGAGCCTGAGGATTTAGTGCCGCATGGCTAGTGCTGTAGCCATTGACCGTACAGGTTAGGATGTTTAATTTTCCCCCTGACAGAAAAACTCATGTCACCTTACTGGGCGTCTTACCCCGGTCTTCCTTATGAGAGTCTGACGTTGTAACCACTCGGCCAGCCACTCCTAAAAAACCAGAATCATATATGCTATAAATATATTGGCCACAAACTATATACCCTAATTAAATCCCAAGTGGGTTGAACAGGATATTGTTGTTTAAATTACTACTACTGCTGGCCACTGTTGTTCCCTAATTTATAAAAACTAAAAGTGCCTTTATAGTTTTTTTTTTTAAGTTTAGTTTAGCAAGTGTTACTTTAAACAGTCTCTTCAATAATCGATTTTGCTTTTATTTGATCAGAGGAAAAGGAAAACCTGCAATTGGAGATCACTCATGCTCTGAAAAGTATCCAAGAAATGGACAAGGCACTGATTGGAAGGATTACCAGGGATGAAAAGGTTAGCCTGTCTGTATAGTTTAATTTTCTTGAATAATAGCTCATTCAAACAGTTTACTGTATAGTTTAACTTTCTTCAGTAATAGCATAATCAAACAGTTTATTATACAGTTTCAACTTTCTTCAATAGTGGAGTTGAGTTGAGTCAAGAATTGACATCACAGCAGGGCATTCCAATGTGTGCTCCATCCTTATCTTCAGCAGCCAGCGCAGTTCCTCTGAGTGTAGTGAGCTGGCCAGGCCCTCTGGTTACACCCAGGTGCCTCATTCTCTCCAGGCCATAATAATCTTGTTTCTCTACTGATTCCATTGCTTGTTCCAAAAGGGCCTTGACCACATCTGCCTTGTCATGTGTCCATTCACCACCCAGTGGTGCAGATCCAGCTTTTCTTTCTTCAGTAATAGGGCCAAATAATAGTAGTTTTTAATTATCCTGTTTAAAGCATGGAAAGATATTCTTAAACCATTTGCATTAAGGAAGCATACTTCTGTCCTCAGAATCGTGTCATTAACACATGCAAAGGAAAACAAGAATGGCTGAACAGCACACCAGATGCATCTGCTCAGGAAATTGGAGCACAACATTCAGAACTCACAGAAATTGTTCAACCAATCTTAGCGAATTTGCACGAACCACGTAATTATTCTTGTCTCTTTGTTATAGTTATAATTATTTCATAGTCTACAGTTTACAGTGTTTAAGTAGCCTTACTACAGAGTTTAAAAGAAGGTAAAAGGATGTGAGATGGACCCAGAAAGACCAGCAACAAAATCTGGCAGAATGGGCGGGCTTTAAATATGAAAACATCAAGTTCATCTCATCTGATTATCAGATCTGACGAGAGACTGAGTTTCTTGCAGGTGGGCTATGATGAGAACCATGACCTGCAAAGAACCTGCTATGGGAAAGAGAAGATAATTAAATGACACCTGGTGGGTGTTGATGTCACTGTCACGCTGGTCATTTTTCTTTTCCTGACATTTCCTGAAACCCATTTTAGGCTAGTTACCTGAGAGTCCTCATTCTTACAGTATAAGACAATCCCCGTCAGCACAAATAAACATCTCTTACAGAGCATATTCAGTCCCACTCTGTGCGACCAGTGCCAGACATGGTCACTCACAACAAATGGTGATAGTAAATTAGTAACGTGGAATTGAGATGGTTAAGAAAGGCTGTAACCAGAAGAGACAAAATCAAAAAATGAGGTCAAGAGCAAATGTCAGCTTGGAACCATTTCTAAATTACATACAAAGACAGCAAATTAAATAATTTGTTCACTTAGAGAAAATCCCTAGGGATGCCATCCCATACAATACATGCATACACCAAAACAGGAGAAGGGTGTAGAACTCAAGGTAGACCAAAAACAGAAAGGAAAGATAACATCAGAGAAACTTTACAACAGCACAGTGTGTCTATGGTCGAGGTGGCTAGAAGTGCCAGACGCATAACTGTGTATATATCTCCAGTGACACCCAAAGTGGTAAAAGAGGAAGTAAGGAAGAAGAAGAAGTCTTGAGTGATCATGTCAGTTTTAAAAGATGCATGCTCAATTGAAATCTTCAGTGCTAATTTGAACCTTAGACCACGGGGTCACAAGCATGAAAGCCAGTGAGCTACCATGATCTGCACAGAAGACAACAGACATACCAAGAATAATAAACTGCATATTGCAACCACTGTATTTGTGATACATTTAAATAATATTATCTTATCATTGCTTTCAGCTCCTGAAAGTTCTGTCAGTCATTCTACTTCTGACATGTTTAAATAATATTTTCATACCATTGCTTTCAGTTCCTGAAAAACGGGAAATAAAAGACAAATGAAGGAGAGACCGTTATCATGACAACATTTTTGGTGAAACTCTTGCTGCAGCAGATGACGTGGTGTGCTTAAATGTAATGTTTTAGGTTTTTATGATGTTATTTACTTGATTATAATATTTTATGTATCGTATTAGTTAGTTTCTTCTAGTAGTGTTTCCGTTTCTTTTGTCTGTTCATAAAGACTTTATTTGAAGCATTCAAATATGTATGCAGCTCTGCTACACCAGATTCCAACAACTAAACTTTTCTATCCATATTACGACCCCTTTTGGGGTGAGAGTCATTTTGTCTGATGATTGAGGATCACATGGCTAGTGCAGTCACCACAGTCAGGTCACAGGTTGGGAATTTATGTTTTGCCTATCACATGGCTAGTGCAGTCACCACAGTCAGGTCACAGGTTGGGAATTTATGTTTTGCCTATCACATGGCTAGTGCAGTCACCACAGTCAGGTCGCAGGTTAGGAATTTATGTTTTAGCCAGCAAATAAAACCTCATTGCCTTACCGGGCCGCCAGAACTTGGTGACTTAGGCACCCTGATAACCTCCTCCCTATCTTTCCCAATACAACAGTAAGAGGCCACAGCCCCACCCAGCCAGGTATAGAAGTTCTCATTTAAAATTATTTTTCTTTAACTGTCACTGTCTATCAAACTGTCACTGTCTATAAGACTGTACCTGCTGGTTGATTTACCATTTTTTAGGGCGGTGTAGAGGGTGGGGAGTCGTGAACGTGAGGATTAAGGGCCACATGGCGACAAAATAAAACTCCATCATCTTACCAGACGTCGAGCCTGGGTCTCCCACTGCCAAAACTGTGAGGAAGGACATTTTCCAAAGAGAGTCATCTGGTTTGATGGCTAGAGCAAGATTTTTTGGCAGTAACGTATATATATATAAATTTCACCTTGATAGTCTGAACTATTAAAATGTAAGAAGTCTGGTTAAAGACTACATTTTGAATATTCCTAAGCTGTTCCCTGAAATGATATGCTAACTTTTATCTGTTCCCTCAATGTATGCCTTTTTTTTTAGATGCTGGAATAAATTAGGTTCTGAGTTTCACAAGTAGATGCTTCTATAATCTGAAATATAAATACTCTAAGAAGTGGACTGAAGAGGTTTAGATCACAAATGGACATTTGGATCAGTACGCACTTTCAGAGGTCTCCGTGGTGAAGTGGTCGAGCTGTTTGCCTCTCGCTCTGAAGTTTCATGAATTCATGAGTGTAATTTTCATGGAGATACCTGGATATCATTACCAGAGCTACGGAGTTTGTGCTAGGTGCGATGCTGTCGGCAGGCGGCTAGCCATTCTGCGGAGAGATACCGAGCCATATGGAAGAATACCTGTTGCAATGAAGTTGATCCTATCGACTTTAATCTTTAACTTTCTAGCCCTCTTCTTATGTCTTTTATATTATGATCTCTCTTTTAAATCGCCCTGTGGTCCTGAAGATCCTCTGGGTGTCAGGGTGTTAAAATGACTGTAACTGATTTTGGAAGATGCCAGAATTAAATATTTGAGTGTGCTGTGTATCTATTTCAGTTGAAACCTCTGGCTAATCAAACTGAGATTAAAAGACAAATCATAAATGCAATTTTTATTCTAACTTTAGGTCACCAGTATCAGACTTTGATATTAACCAGAGAACACAAGAGAAAACAAACCACCTATGAAATTAGATGCTTGAGAAAGGCAGTCATCAAAACCAGAAAAGATCATGTGGCGAAATGAAGAGATCTGAAAAACAATTAGAACAATACTCATCATAAAATTTACATGAGAAAGAAAGACTGAAATGGTTCATCCACGTAGTGAGAATGAAACCAATGATTCTGGCAGCGAGAGTATACAATATGAAAATAGAAACACCAAGAGCCAGAGGAAAACCTAGAAGAAGATGGATTCAGGGAATCAGTGACAGCTTAAGACTGCACAACATCACAGCAAACCAAGCATAACCAGGCTCGGCCACCTGTCACCCATTAAATGGCAATGTCTAATGTCACAAGCAGATACAGATAAAAGAAAAAACAAGAAATCAATAAGGTGATTTATATGCTTTATGTTATTTAGTTTGGTTACTGTAGTAAGCAAGTGGTAAGATACAGTAAAATATGTTGTTTGCATCTTCTTTGTTGAAATAAAATGAACATTAAAAAACATCCCACATGTCTGAGGCTTCAGTTACAACAGTATTTGTCAAGAAAAACACAAATATATGAACTGAATTGAATTGATCTTCAAAGGTAAAAATCACAGCATTTGAAACATTCCCATAGGCAAGCCATCCCCATCTTCAGCAGCCAGCGAAGAATTCCAACCCGATGGCAGCAGTAGCACTCTGATTGTATGTTCCTCTGTCCTTCTACTGAGTGTGGGGTGTTGACAAGATCCACTGATCACTCCTTGACCGCACCATTCTCTTCATACCATGATGATCTCATTGTGTCTGCACTGTTCACTCAGTCCCAAAGGCCTTGAAAACATCTAGCTTATCATGCATCAGTTGTCCACCAAGTGGTGCAAAACCGGCCAGCCTGTCAGCCTGTTGGTTTCCAACACACCTGCCTGCACTGGAGAAAATATACTACTCTGGATCTCTGAAGCGATGCTTGTCACTCTGCACAAAGAAATACCTGTCTCCCCTTCTCTCAGCATAATTTATGAATCAGTTACAATGACAACATGTGTGTAGCTGGTTCTCAAGCCAATTTAAGGCTTCGGTGACTGCCTCTACCTCCATTCTCATATTGTATGTTGTGATATCATTTGCCTTGTATGTTGTGATATCATTTGCCAAGATTTTATGCTCTGAGGGTCATCTATTCTCTATTCGGTTTCACAATGAACCCCCACGTACTTTTATGCATCTCGACGCACAGCCATCACCATAATCACATCAGATGGGGCTGTATTGTCATGAATAAGCTATTAAGCTTCTGATTGTTCAGCTAGTTCCTATACTCCAAGCCCAATCTGATTAGAGCCTTAAACAAATCTTACTGTTGCTGAGGAACTTTAACCCACTCCTCTCCTTGCCAAATATTGTTCAAGCATGCGTGCTAATTGAGTCTTCCTCCTGCGCCATCCAAGACCTTCCCCTTTTGTTTATATGACCCTTAGGTCTATCTAGGGCTTCATGTGAGATGTGGTTTTTTTGTGTGTCTGCAACTACTCTGGGATATGGCCTCGCCTGCAGCCCTGCGAGCATATCTGCAATGATAATAGTCGGTAGTCTAGGTATGAGTCGCATATACATTTTTCTTCTTCTTCTTTTTCACCTTGTACCTCAGTAAAGTGTCGGGGGGAAGATGTAACATTTCTTGATGAGCTCTGTCAAGAGCACTATTAAGACTGATGTTTATTTCTGTAAGGCTGTTCTTAATGCCATCACTCCATTTTTTCCGAGGTCTTCCCCTCGCTCTATACCCGTTGTAACATTTTAGTATTGCTCGCTGTGGCAGATAGTACCAGGGCATTCTTGTCAGGTGTCCAAACCACTTCATTTATTGTTCTTTGATGACCTGTAAGACTGGCTTTATTCCTAGTATTCTGTCTTTCCTTGAAACTCCTGCAGCTCTTCTAAGACATTTCATCTCTGTTGTCACAATTTACGTTCATTGGAGGATGTAAGTGTCCATGTTTGGCACTAATAGCATAGTGTTGGCCCAAAAAAAAATAGTTCTGATAAGATTTACTTTAGTACTCCGTGGTATCTGCTTGTGTATCAACAGGGGAGATAGTTGCCCCATTATTTGGTTATATTTGGCACATCTCTAGCTAATTTCTCTGTCCAGTTTTCCGTTGGATGTGAAA